TTTGGGTGATCACATAATTTCTAATTTAATTACTAATGTATAATTCTATTTTTTAAATATAAAGCATGAATTATACCTAGGTCCTTTTAGAGGGGGGTATTGTAATAAGGGGATATTATTGTTTGCGCTATACCCAGGTACTATTCTATACTCACAAACCCGAAACCATGAATTGTACCCGGGTCTTTTTCATAGGATATTTTAGCAGAGGGATACTGTAGTCAGCACCGTACGGTATATCAAGTTTCAACGCGTGGTAACATCTTGAATACAATGAACAGCATCGGCATAACTAAGCTTTATTTGCACTTCTTCTAGCCATTCTATTTGTTTTTGGTACTGAAAAAATTGAATTAACCTCCTTGCACGTACAACTAGAACTTCTGCTGGTGCAAGTCCTTTTCCAATCACCAATTGAAGAGTATGAGCCGTATACAGGAGATGTTTAATTCCTCTACACCCATCCTTTTGGTTTAATAAGGGGAAGCTGAGACCATATTTTTACCATTATCAGTGGTGATTGATGTTATACGATGCTCAAGATTCCAAGATTTAATATATTTATGAAGCTCATCTGCAATGACTTGACTACTATGTGGTGAGGGAACATATTTATTTTTCAACATTACATCTTTAATTTTGAAACTTGGCATAATCCAAGTTGCAGTTACTTCGAGAAACCTGTGCCTGTCTTTACTTGACCAGAAATCTATTGTAAGAGAAACATTTTTAGCAGTTTGAGTAAGGAGATTTAATAAATTTTCACGATTATGCTTATAGCTTTTGAAAATCATGGTTCTAATTTTTTTTCTCCTGGGATAATAAAAGAAGGGTCGAATTCTGCCATTTTTTCCCTATAGGCTTCATCTGTGACTATTGAAAAAGGCTGGTTGGAAAGTAATATCCACTTTAGAAGTGCTTCTTCATGTCGTTTTTGAATATGTGGAGGATGAGGACGAACTTTTCATACAAAATCGGTAATATTGGAATTTCGTGGCTAAAAATTAATAGCATTTACACTAACTTGTAAATGCAATAATCTCGATAAAAAAAACCTTCAATACAGTAGATTACATATCCGCCAATTTTGTAAATCACTATAAAAATGTATCTGACCTTGAATAACTTTTGATTTACAGATTCATTTTAGATGATTTTACTACAAAAGTGTTCGTCTCATTAAGACGAATGTGTAAAATCATCCAAAATAGATTGATCAATCAAAAGTAATTCAAGGTTGGATACGTTTTATAGCGATTTTTAAAATTGGTATATATGTGTATAAAAATCCACTTAATGTAAGAAAATTATTAATAGACCCTTTATAAGAAAAGGGTTAAAATTTTTATTATAGACCTAACCATTTTCTCATATCAAGATTTATTTATAATACCTTTTTTATATTTTCTCTATCATCTTGTGAAACAATTTCGTGGGTGTCTCTAAGGTGCGTGATAAGATTTCCTGTTGAACTTCTTATATTTTTATATTCTGTGCCACATTTTTCACCATCTTCGTTTATGACCTTGCAGACTCGTACTTCTTCACCTTTTTGATTGACTGTTGTTTCAAAGTATTCGTGAGTGAATGATGGCTCTTTACGGTTATACCTTTTTTTAGATTTTTTGGCTAAAGCAAAAATGCACTAGTAAATTTATTATTTATCTTAAAAATCTTTAGTTTTATTACTATTAATATTAACATCTTTTTTTTTATCTTTTAAAGATGACGTAGAAAGAGGCATAGGCTGGATACTAGACGTAGCAGTTTCTGATGAACAAGAAATTTCAGATGGGGCTACTGAATTTTTCGCAGTTTCTATGATAAAATTATTATTATAATAATATTCAGAATCATCTATTATATGGTAATATTCAGAATTTTCTTTCATTTTATCTAAGGTTTGTATCAGATATTCGAAGAAACTAGCGTATAGCAAAATTCAGTACATTTGATTTGTAAGTTTTATCATCTTTTATAAATCTAGATTATTAATTCCTTTAACAGTATTTTACAATAAGTTATTATATTGCCAATATCAGTAAACTTATTTTGCATATATACACATTCTTACGTTTTTTTAACATACTCTAAGAAACCAGAAATTAGACCAATTCTACTGTATACCTGACCTTGGTGCAACTACTCATTAGTCCTTTTTTAGAATGATATTTAAAATTATACCACTCTTTAAGTTACAATTAGAGAAACTTGGATCAATTGAAATATATATTTTTATTAATTGAGTTTTAAAAACTGACGAACACCGATCTCAGGAATTATGACATTGATAAATCACAAGGTCAGTGGTAATTTTAATGATTTTCATAGCAACATTTTTACTTCATTAGTGAATTTTTCTAACGCATCACGCTAATAGCACAAATACATTCATATTTCGAGCATATATGCAATCTTTCTGGAACTTTAGAACAGTCCTTTATCAACCTAAAATCTTTCGATTATATAATTAGGTTTTTCTTCATTCGAAAATTATTTACTTTCATTGAGACTATAAACCCTATTAGAGTTTATAGTAATCCTCATTCAGGGTCTGTAACTCGATTTGTACTTTTTAAGAGCAAATAAAAAAAAATAAAATAACATGAACCAGCTTGGCGTAATACTGTATCTGGTCTTTTTTTTTTTTTTTTGAAAAAAAAATTTTGCCGCTTTTAATTCACATAATCTGATTTTTAAAATCGAGAATGAGCT